AGCACTTCCTTGCTCTACTACCTCATGGATATCATTGTGGTAAGTAGCTTCCAGACATCAGTTGCTTATGTTAAATGCATATACATGCCAATTTTCTGTTGCTGCTAGTTGAAGCTGGATATACCTTGTTAAATAGAGATAATTTAGAAGAACTGTTATTTTCAAAATGTGGGATGATGAGAGGGTGGTTCTTTATGCTTTTCTTACCAGTAATAAGAATAGAGAATCATGAGGCCTGAAATTAAATCTTCTCAAGTATCCCAGTCAAAGGATGTGTAGGTACGTTTCATTGTTCTGGCACATTTATGTGGTTAAGGACACTGTTTTCTTGTAAAGAGTCTAGGACCATTAGACCAATAATATTGTTTCTTAATCAAGAACTGACCACCTACACCTTGTTTCATTTTATGAGGGGATACTTGCTTCATTTCATTTATTTGCATTATGTAATATGCCCATCTCTTCTACTTGGCTCTAATTCATTGTGTTTGCTATGAAGCTGGGATTTTTTTATCAGTCAAGAACGGGAAGCTTGACTTGAGTACACATCCATGGCCTTCAAATTCTGCTCGTGCCAAAGACTTAATTGCTAAATTGTTTGAGAGAAAACCTAAGGCAGAGGCACTTGGTATTTTTTTTTTTTTTTTTTTTTGCTCAACTAAGGTTTTTGATGATAGGGAATTATGACATGAAAACTGCTTTTAACTAGCTGGATTTAGTTTAATTTTTTTTTAGTTTGAATGTTTTATATACATTAGTCTACTAGCTCAACGGGTAGAGCATTGTGCAAATACACAAAAGATGTGGGTTGGGTTCGAATTCCACGTTAGTTCATTTTGGTAAAGTGAAGACGAGAATATGTAATAAAGTTAGTTGTAACAATTTTTTCTGTTATCATTACTCATTAGTTTTTTAATATACTTTTGCTATGATTTATTTTTGAGATATATTGATTTATTTTTAATTTTTTAGTTATTTTTAGAGATAACCTATGTAGGAATCGAACCTACATCTTCTATGCATTTGCATAGTGCTCTACCAATTGAGCTAATATGTTTTTGCATACCTAATAAAAGTTAAATAGCGTAATCCAACCCCTTTGCTATGATAGAAAAACACATTGCCTGATTTGCAAGAAATGAGACTAAAAATCTATAAGCGATCCTAATTATGCATACGTTCTATTTTCCACATCATGTTCTAACTATAGCTAAAAATTAAAAATATATCTGAATTTAATTAGAACATAATAATCATAACTCAGAACATAAGAAGAATTTTATTTTATTTTTCCTATGTTCTAAATTTTCTTTGTCTATGTACTAATTTTGTTTAACTATCTATGATCTAATTTTGTTTTATACGTTTTTGAACATATGTTCTAGATTTTTTTTCCTATGTTCTAAAATTTTTCTATCTGTGTTCTATTTTTTTTTTCCGTATGTTCTAAATTTTTTTCTATGTTCTAAATTTTTTTCCTATATTCTAAATTTTTTCTAATGTTCTAAATTTTGTTCCCATGTTTCAAACCTATATGTTATAAAATTTTCTACTTATGTTCTAAATTTTGTTCCTATGTTTCAAACCTATGTTTTAAATTTTTTCTACTTATGTTCTAAATTTTTTCTGCCATGTTTTAAATTACTTCCTATGTTCTAAATATTTTTACTATGTTCTAATTTTTTCTGCTTATGTTGTAACAAAATTTTCCTATGTTCTAAACTTTTTTTCTACGTTCTAAATATTTTTTACTATGTTCTAAATTTTTCTGCTTATGTTGTAACAAAATTTTCCTATGTTCTAAACTTTTATCTATGTTCTAAAATGTTTTCCTATGTTCTAAATTTTTCTACCTATATTCTAAATTTTTTTTATGTTCTAAAATTTATCCTGCATTCTAAATTTTTTTTTGGTTATGTTCTAATTTTTTCCATATGTACCAAATGTTTCTACTTAAGTTCTAGTTTTTTTTTTTTTTTTTTTTTTTTTTTTTTTTTTTTTTTTTTGTGTGTGTTCTATAATCTAAATATATGTTCTAAAATTTTTTCCTATTGTCTACATTTTCTTTCCTATCTACTAAACACATGATCTATTTTTTTTTTCTTTTTTGTTTTTTAGGTTCACAAATAAAATACAGAACCAAATAATCAATGGGAAAAGATTCTCATTCAACAAAATTGAAACAAGCATTAATGTAAGAAACACAACTAGCTATGCTATTAAGCCACACATTGTTTATTTTTACCCAAAATAAAAATTCTAGAATATCAACCAAAATAAGCATCTAATATGATTCTCCATCTCCAATACCTCTTTAATTTCCCCCCAAATATCCAATGTATTTGTATATAGAAAAGAGACAAGCATTAAGAAACCAGGGTAATTAATTAACGAAACCAAGTATATCAGATTCCCAACTAATCAACCACTAAAATAAAGGAGCAAAAAATTGCAAGCCTTCAAAATATAAGTACTAGGCACAATATTGCACAGACATGACTAATCACACTAAATGACTACTCCTAGTCCTAACCAAACAACTATCAGCTTTTTGTTATTAGAGGTACACATAATCAACATGTTCTCAACATCAAAGAATCATTTAGTTCTACTATAAAACTCGAGACTATTAGAAATATCAACCAAAAATAGCAAAATAAATTTATAAATAGTTCGAAATTACTGAAATAGAATGATGAAATATAAAACTTGGGCAATAAATAGATGATAACAATGAATTTGAACTTATAGTGAACATAAGCAATGAACATTAAAAAAAAAAAAAAAAATTAAAAAAAAAAAAAAACCAAAAAAACAACTAGACCTGAATTTGAAAATTTGAAAATTAGGGTTTTTTTCTCCAAAATTAGTACTAAATTGAACTAGTATTACGAAAATTGTTGAAAATCCTTGAATTAATGTAAATAAATCTTTGAAAAAATTTCGAATTGCAGCTACAATGGCAGTTTTTGGGAGTTTGAGGAGCGAGAAATTGAATGACGATTTTTAAGAGAGAGAAAGGAAGGAATGTTTTGTACTTTGTGTTAGGTGAGGGAAAATTAAAAGTTTTGAGTTTACTCTTTTAATCTGAACCGTCTACTCCAATCTAATCCAACAAATTAGAATAATTCTTATATAGGGAGGAGTTCTTATATAAAGAGGGGTTCTTACCAGATCCATATATATATATATATATATATATATATATATATATATATATATATAGGGGAGGGATCCGGTAAGAACCCCTCCTTATATAAGAACCCTAGTTATATAAGAACCAATCTCAGCCGTAGGATTAAGGTAATTTAGACGGTTAAGATTAAAACACGTATTTTTCCTCATACCCCCTACGGCCCTACCACCCGATCAAAATTTTCTCTCTCCTCTAACTTTCTCTCTCTTCGTGCTCATCACATTCTCTCTCTGCAAACCCCCAAAAATCTCCATAGAAATTGCAATTTGAAGGATTTTCGACTCAGGTATGTTTTTATTTTTCGATTTTGTTCAAATTTCCATGAACTTAGCATGTTGTTTAAGTAGATTTTGCGATTTTTTGTTTTGATTTTTGCGATTTTATGTTTTCCGATTTTTTGATTTGATTTTGCGTTTTTTTTTTAGGTTCGGCAGAACTTCCGCAACCTCTGGCACACTGACCTTCTTCGCACTATTCAGGCTGATACTCCTTGTAAGATATTTCTTCTTCTTCTTTTTCAATTTATCCAGTTTTCACAACTTCGGATTTTCACTGCGGAAATCACTGTTTTCTGATTTTTTTTTTTTGGAATTTTTTGATTTTGTTGCAGATTGTTGTTTGTCGTTGTTCTGGTAAATTCTTTGATCCGCTAATTTCTCAATTGCTGATTAGTTGAATTTTAGTTTTGTTAGTGTGTTTAGTGATTGTTTGACGAGATATGGATGATTTTGCTTGTTGACTTTGCGGTTTATTCGAGATGATTGATTAGGTTTTCAGTTTTAAGAAAGAACTGAAATGTAGGTTTTTAATTGAATTTTGATTGTCAATTTTGTGCTTTGTAACTGAAATTCGTGGTAAGGAAAATTGGAAAAATTAGTGATTTTTTCGAATTTTGATTTCGAAATTGGTGATGTTGGTGCGATTGCCCCTGTTTGTAGGGGTTGTGGTGTGGTGGTTGATTTATGCAGCATCAGCTAATTGGTTAGGGGTTGTTGGTAGTGAACTTGTGATTGCAGGGCTGAAAATAAACTTTAGAACATAGGTAGAAAAAATTTGGAACATAGGAAAAAATTAAAACATAGGTTGAAATAATTTAGAACATGGGCTGAAAATAAACTCAATCAAACCTTATCATGTTTCTGTTTCATTTGTCTTTTAAATTTCTAGTTTACTCATTCTATTTTGGGTTTTTCACTCTCCAACATGTTCTAAACTCTTTTTAAGCATGTTCTAAACTATTTTTCAGCATATTCTAAATTATTCCTATGTTCAAAAATATAATAATAATGTTGGAATGTTACTAATGTTTTTGATTTCTTAAAATTGCAGCAAAATGCAAAGCCAAAATGAAGAAAAATCAGAAGGAGGAGTTACTAATATACAAGAAGAAGAAATTACTTATGTAAAAAAAAGGTAACTAAACTAATGTTCTAAACTTTACCTATTATGTTCTAAATTTTTCCCTTAAGTTCTAAAGATTTGTACTAATGTTACTCTATTTAATGTTAGTTGTATTCTAATTATTTTTAATTGTTTTTAAAGGAAAGTTGAAAACGTTGAAGCGGAAGTAATTGATAGATCGGAATTTGAGAAGCATATTGAAAGTAAAAGTGTTGCTATAAGACATAGAAAACTTCCAACAAGGCTTCAACCACCTCGAAAATTGCAAAAAAAGGAAGGAAGAGAAAAAGATCAAGAAGAAGGAAAAGATCAAAAAGAAGAAGAGGGTAATAATGTTGAGGATGATGACAAGAATAATGATAGTAAAGATGATGGTGAGGATGATAATAAGGGTGATGTAAAGATGAAAGAGAAAGATGAAAAAGAGGAGATGGAAGATGATAGTGAGGAGGAACAAAAAATCAATAAAAAAAATCAAACTCAGGTAATAATACTCTTTAATCTTTACAATCTTTATTTTTATGTTCTAAAGTGCACGCTTATGTTCTAATTTTGCTTATCTATGTTCTAATTATGTTTATCTATTCATGGTGAGGATGTGAAGAAGAAGAAAAGAAAGATTGAAAAAGAAGAAGATGGTGAGGATGTCCAAGTAGTAGAAGCTAATGAGCAAGATAAACTAGTTAAGAGGCAACCTTATCAAAGAGTACCTCCTACTCAATTCATGAAGGATGTGTTGATAAATCTTTCGGAAAAACAAAAGCAAGCTATTCGGAACATTGGTTTTGGAGGCTTTTTGGAATTGGATTTACCAATCCATATTAATTCTACGTAAGTAGTAGAATGTTATGTTCTAAAATCATATTCTAAAATCATAAGTATTATCAATGTTATGTTCAAAATTATGATTTGTCATGTTTGAATTGCTATACACTAATGTTCTAAATTATAAGATTATGTTCTAAATTAGTTATGCTCTAAATTTTGTGCATATGTTCTAAATAATATGATTATGTTCGAAATTAGCTATGTTCTAAATTATGTGCATATGTTCTAAATTGTATGATTATGTTCTACATTATGTGCATATGTTCTAAATAATATGATTATGTTGTAAATTACTTATGTTTTAAAGTTACTTCTTGTATTCTAAAATTATGAACTCTCATGTTTGAATTGCTATACACTAATGTTCTAAATTAATTTTTTGTTATGTTCTAATGTATGTTTATTATGTTCTAAAATAGACTTTTTTTATTATATAAAGTTCTAAATTATGTTCAAAAGTTTAAATATTATACTAAATGTTTTAATCTTCTATGTTCTAAAGATTGACTATTATATTCTAAATATAGCTGTATTGTGCTTTAAATCTTACATTTTTCATTATAATTCTAGGTTGACAGAAAACTTGGTTACGAATTTTGACACGGAGAGATGTTGTTTGATGTTAACAAAGAGAAAACAAGAAATCTTTTTGGAGGCAATTGATGTTCATTTGGCTTATGGGTTGCCATTGGGAGGCAAAAGGATTGAGCAACCAAATGATGAGTCAAATCTGAAATGGAGCAAGTTTCTAAAAGCTTGGAGAAGCAAGTTTGGCCTCAAAAAAGTATGATGATATAATGTGGTTATGTTTTAAATTTTATGTTCTAAAGTATGAATTTTATGTTATAAATTGTATGTTTTAAAGTGCTTTGCTTATGTTCTAAAGTGTTTTTTGCTTTAAAATAGATCTATTATCTCCATAGGTTTCAATTTATATGTTTTTTTTTACTTCTAAAAGGGAAGTCCAACCAACAAGAGATTGATTGACAGAATTCAAGAATTGAAGAAGGAAAAATCAGTTTCTAATGAATTTCTTTGGAACTTTGTGGTATGTGTTGTCAATTGTTGCATTCGATCAACAAACAACCCACAACTATACATTAAATTCTTGTATAGTTGTATGGATGTAAAGAAAATTGCTGAATTGGATTGGTGCACATTTGTGATTGAGCACTTGAAAGATTCTGTAAGTGTATGGAAGAAGGGAAATTCTTACTTTACAGGTCCTTTACCTTTTCTAATGGTAAGTTTTAAATTCTTACCATTATGTATATATATTATTCTTGTTATGTTGAAAATGTGTGAAAAATATTCTAATTAATTCTTAACATGTACTAAATAGGTATTCTATTTTGATCGTCTACAAAGAGGAGGGTTAGAAAAACCAAGAAAATGTCCACTAATTTCGGTGTGGACAAAGGAAAGAATTCAAGTGAGATATAAGTTTGAAAAAGATCATGGATTTGGATATGGAAAACTCTTGGAAAGAATGGAATCAATTGTGGTATGATATTTGTATATGTTTATGTTTAAACACTACACTTTATGTTGTTGTTTTCTAAATTTTATAATTTATATACTAGAAGGCACCAAAAGGAAAAAAGAAACAACCAAAACAAAAGGAAAAAGAGAAGAGAATGGAAAAATCATCAATAGGTTCTAGTTCTACAACTTCTCGAAATGACATGATGGTATGATTTAGTTTATATTGTAAATTATATTTTATGCTCCATTTAATCCTTTTCTGTTAAATTATTCATGTTATGTCCTTTATGTTCTAAAATATTTTTGTGTTCTAATGAAGGGCTTTTTGAGCAAATTTGGAGATTTGGCAAAAACACTTGCCTCGAATGTTAAAGAGATGTATGGCATGTTAGAACAAGCAAAAGATCTTTTTGTTGAGGAAGAAACAACAGGAAAAATGCAACATCTCATAGACAACATATGGTGCAAGTACACAACAAAGGTATTATAATTATGTTCTAAAGTATTTTCTGGTTGTGTTCTAAAGTATTTTCAGCTTATGTTCTAAAGTATAATAAATTTATATAAATATTATGCATATTATGTTCTAAATTATAATTTCTTATTTTATAGACATTCGTGAACCAAGAAGAAAAGAAAAGCCCTTCTATACTCAGCCAAGATCAACATGTCTTCGATGAACCGGCATTTATTGAAGAATTGGATATGGTTATGGATAAGGCATGGAAGAAATTCGAGGAAACAAGGTCACCAAAGTCACCGACAGTTGGTAATTTCACATGTACATGCTTAATTTCCAAATTATACTTATGTTCTATATTAGATGCTTATGTTTTAAAGTACTTTTTTATGTTCTAAAACATGCGCTTAAATCACATGCTTATGTTCTAAATTATATGATTATGTTCTAAATTAGTTATGTTCTAAATTAGTTATGTACTAAATTAGTTATGTTCTAATTGTTAAGCAGATTTGAGATCAAAGGAAGAGGAAAAAGATAAGAACAAAGAAGAGAGAAATGAAGAGAATAAAGACAAAAACTTGTTGATTCCCTCACCAGTAGTTGGTAATTTCACATTATTTTCAAATTCATTTTTTATGTACTAATATTTACTAGATATGTTCTAATATACTTCTTATGCTCTAAATTTTTTCTGGTTATGCTTTAAAGTTAATTCTTAATTTTTTATATTCTAACTATTTCTAGGTTGTCTCCTAATTGTATATATTTCTTATGTTCTAAAGTTACTTTTTATTTTCTAATTATTTTTTGCTATTTCCTATAATACTTAATTTTTATGGTGTAATTGCTATGAAGATTTGGGATCAAAAGAAGAAGAAAAAGAGCAGTGCAGAAAAGAGAGAAACGAGGAGGAAAAAATTGAGAAGAAAGAGAAAAGGAATGAGGAGTCACCAAAAACCCCAATTCCTCCAAAAAAGAAGCAACCTTTTGATATAACTCCTCCAAGTTTCAAGTTATTGACCCCCTCACCAGCAGTTGGTAGTTTTACATTATTTTCAAACTTTTTTCTTTTGAAATAATATTACTAGATTTGTTTTAAAATTACTTCTTATGTTATAAATTTTTTCTGTTATGTTCTAAAGTTATTTCTGATGTTCTAAATTTTTTCTAAATCAGATGCTTATGTTTTAAACTACTTTCTTATGTTCTAAATTATGTGCATATGCTCTAAATTATATGATTATGTGCTAAATTATGTGCATATGCTCTAATAATATGATTATGTTCTAAATTATGTGCATATGTTCTAAATAATATGATTATGTTCTAAATTAGTTATGCTCTAAATTATGTGCATATTTTCTAAATAATATGATTATGTTTGAAATTAGTTATGCTCTAAATTATGTGCATATGTTCTAAATTGTATGATTATGTTCTAAATTATGTGCATATGTTCTAAATAATATAATTATGTTGTAAATTAGTTATGTTCTAAAGTTACTTCTTGTGTTCTAAATTTTTCTGGTTATATTCTAGTTATTTTTAATGTTCTAAATTTTTTCCAACTATTTCTATGTTGTGTCCTTATTGTTTCTACTTATGGTTTGATGTCCCAGAAAATCAAGAAGATAATGAAGCAGAACTCACTTACGAAGAAGTGACAGCAAATGTTCTAAATTGTGCTTTTCTAAATCCAGATCATCCACCTACATTGGATGAAGAGGAGAAGCAAGAAGAGGAAAAAGAGGAGAAGAAAGAAGAGGAAAAAGAGGAGAAGAAAGAAGAAAAGGAGAAGAAGAAAGAAGAGGAAAAAGAAGAGAAGCAAGAGGAGAAGAAAGAAGAAAAGGGGAAGAAGAAAGAGGAGGAAAAAAAGGAGATCCAAGAGGAGAAGAGAGAAGAAAAGGGGAAGAAGAAAAAGGAGGAAAAAGAGGAGATCCAAGAGGAGAAGAGAGAAGAAAAGGGGAAGAAGAAAAAGGAGGAAAAAGAGGAGAATCAAGAGGAGAAGAAAGAAAATGAAGGAAGCAAGAATGAAGAGAAGAACAAAGAAGAAAAAAATGAGAACAAGAAAGGGTAATCATTTTGTAAACTTTAAAACAAATGTTGGTTATGGTTTAGTTAAATTTTAATTTAGAACTTGGTAATAATAAATTTTGGTTTGATTTGGTTATGGTTTTTGTTATCAATAAATTTTGGTTTGATTTAGTTATGGTTTGTGTTATCTATGTGATATTTTTTAATTGAATTAAGTAGGAAACAAGGAGAAGAAAAAGGAGAAGAAAAGACACGGAAAAAAAGAGGAAAGGATAAGCTTCCAATGTACTTGCGTTCACCTTTCATGGTTGAACATGAAAAACTTTTCAAGAATGTGGACAATAGAAAGGTAGCTGAGTATGCGTTTGCTCAAGGAGATAATAAGTAAGACTTTAAAACTTTAAAATTATATGCTTATGTTCTAAGCTATATGCTTATGTTCTAAGCTATATGCTTATGATCTAAGCTATAAATTATGTTCTAAACTTCATTCTTATGTTCTAAACTGCGTGTTCTAAGCTCCGAGATTATGTTATAAAGTACATGTGTAAAACTATATGCTTATGTTCTAAAATAGGTACTTATGTTCTAAACTATATTCTTATGTTTTAAATTATGTGTTTATGTTCTAAACTACATGCTTATGTTCTAAACTACATGCTTATGTTCTGATTTTATTGTTCTGATTTTAGGGAGCTTTTGTATGCTGATAACATGGGGACAACGATTACGAGAGATGAGATTCATAGTCTCATAGAAGATAAGCACATGTTGAACAATGTTGTGGATGCTTATGTTTGCCTATTGAATTTTGAAAATAAAAGACGTGGTGTAGACAAGAAGAGTAGATTCTTTTTCACTACTGAATGCTATGTATGTTTTTGAACTTAAAATTATAACTATGTTCTAAGAGTAGATTCTTTTTGTTTCTCATATAGATTATACTATGCACCTATGTTCTAATTACTTATGTTTTAATTTCTTTTTCTTTTTCAGCTCATACGTTGTACAGAAAAATACTTCAAATCAAATGAAAGGCAAGATGATAGAATGAAGGCTTTGTTTGATAGAATGCAACAAGAAATGACAACGACCGAAGTAACAAGCTTCAAAAGCATTCAATTGGTAATTTGGTATCTTATTATGTTGTACTTTTTTATTATTATATGTTCTAATTATTGGTTTTGTTTATGTTCTAATTATTTTTATCTATGTTTTAAAGTATCTACTTATGTTCTAAACTACTTATTTATCTTCTAAACTACTTACTTATGTTCTAAACTACATGTTATAAAAATTATATGCTTGTGTTCTAATCTATATGCTTATGTTCTAAAATGCATGCTTATGTTCTAATTTTGCTTATCTATGTTCTAATTCTGTTTATCTATTAGGTTTTCTTCCCGGTCGTTTTACCAGATCACTACTATTTGCTGTGTGTCAACTTTGTGGAAGGAACATTTGATTTGATTGACAACAGATTTCTTCCACCAAGTATTCCTTTTCACAATAAATATGGAAATTACCATAGATTAATGGTAAGACATCAAGTTTACATTTTTTTAATTATACTTTTGTTCTAACTTTTGCCTTATATGTTCTACAGTTTTTCTTTATGTTCTAAAGTTTACCTTATATGTTCTAAAGTTTATCCAATTTTTCAGTTGAATGCATTTGCTGATTTCGTTCACTCAATTGACTCAAATATAAAGAGTGACTTTGTATCCTCCTTCAAAACAAGAAACTTGAGTATGTCATGGAAGAGCAATAAGAACAAACATGATTGTGGAGTGTTCCTGTTGAAGCACATGGAAACATATGAAGGAGAATCTGTAAAACAATGGAATTCGGGACTAGAATTAGACAATGTAAGTTTAAAACATAAGATACATGTTTTAAATTAGTTTCGTTTATGGTTTTGGTGTTATGGTTTTAGTGTTGTGGTTTGGTTTGGTTATTGTTTAGATATATTATGGTTTATTATATTTATTTATACTTATATGCTAAATTATATTCATGTTCTAAATTATATGCTTATGTTCTAAAGTATTTCTGTTTATGTTCTAAAAGTTACTCTTTTTTTTTTTTTTTTTGCAGTTTGACCAAATGTTTATGTTTATGTTCTAAAAGTTACTCTTTTTTTTTTTTTTTTTGCAGTTTGACCAAATGAAAAAATTAAGAGTGGAGTATTGTGGGAAGATAATAACAGCAGAAGTAAATGAAGAACGGAACAAAGTGATTAGGAGATCAAAAAAGTGGTCAAAGGAGAACAAAATGGATATATGATTGTTAAGATCTTAAGTTTATATTTGTAGAGAGATATTTGCAAAGAATATAACAGTAATTTTTTATGTTCTATGTATTTACCAGTTACAAGAAATATATTGTTGAATCATATTAAATGCTAAAATTTTAATATAAAATATATCATATAAACTTATATGCTAAATTATATTCATGTTCTAAATTATATGGGTATGTTCTAAAGTATTTTTGATTATGTTTTAATAATTATATGCTTATAAAGTTAGGATATTGGAATATATTATTATATATTAATTTTGACTTAAAACTTAAAGTGTAGAACATTAGAACATAAGAAAATTAAAAAAAAGTAACAAGAAATGACAACAGCCAAAGTAACAAGATTCCAAAGCATTCAATTGGTAACTTGATTCTAATTATATCTTATTATGTTGTACTTTTTTCTTATTACATGTCCAAATTATTGATTTTGCTAATCTTCTAATTATTTTTATCTATGTTCTAAAGTATTTGCTTATGTTCTAAACTGGCTGCTTCTAATCCATTACTTTTGCTTTATTTTTCCTTTTGAATACAATGCATACACTCTTTAGTGCATATCTAAGAAGGCATATGTAAATCAATGTTAAGAAACTTGAATAAATAAAAGTTGATTAAAGCAAGATTCAACTAAATGTTGTTTAATAAAGGTATCTAAAATGCTTGTACTATCATTACTCGTAGTTCAAATTGACTTAATAAAACAACTTATAATTACGAAAAGGGGGGAAGATGAAGAGACAGGAGATGTTATAAAACATTATAATCAACTTTAATTAACATAAAAATTGATAAGAAAAACACTAGTAGAGATACTCTGAATAATAATTGGACAAAAAAGAAATAAAAATATATTGTTTCTAAAAGTAAATAAATTGAGTTCTTATATTTTAAGAATTACATGAATAATATTTTACGTGCTAGTAAATGAGATATTGTTTCTAAATATATAACATCTCATGCAACTGGATTAATAGTATATTCACCAACCTGTAAAGAAAAAAAAATAAAACAATATTAGAACATAAGCACATAATTTAGCATTAAAAAATGTTATAACATGCCATTTCTATTAGTTTAGAACACATGATATTATATAGAGTAAAAACTTTAGAACATTTAAAGAAACCTTTAAAACATATAAAGAAAACTTTAGAACATATAAAGAAAATATTTTGAACATAAAGAGAAAAGTTAAAATATAAAGGAAAACTTTAGAACAAAATGAATAACTTTATATTCTAAACATTAGAGCATATTAAATTACACTAAAACAGAAAGAATAAACATTAGAACATAGAGAAAACACTTTAGAACATAGAAAAGTAACTTTAGAACAAAGAGAAAACACTTTAGAACATATTGAATTACTTTAGAACATATATGAATAACTTTATGTTCTAAACTTGCTTAAAACATAATTACTTTAGAACAAAATAAATATAAGAAAATTAAAAATAAAGTTTACTTACAATATCACTTGACTTTTCCAGGGCAATTACGACTATCATGATAACCAAGCTCCCCACATGCTCTACATAATCTCTTCTTCTTTTGACTTTGTTCAATAGACTTTTCTCTGTCACTCTTCATTCTTTTGTCACTATTTGGAACATGAACCTCATTTGGAACATGGACATCATTTGGAACATGGACATCATTTGGAACATTTACCTGATTTGGAACATGAACCTGATTTGGAACATGGACATCATTTGGAACATTGACCTGATTTGGAACATGAACCCCCGTGCCTTTGTTCTTCGAAATTTTAGGAGGTTTGATTAAAACATTAGAAGGTAGACTAGCTCCAATAAGCATTTCAATGTCTTTAACTTTGTTCGAAAGATTGTTGCTTCCATTTGTTTTCTTCTGTTCCAAATCTACCCTCATGGCTCGAAGTTTTTTGACAAGATCACTAAGATCATCTTCATTGTTTTGCACTAAACTCACACAAGCATGAATTTCAGACCACAAATCATTTAATAACATTTTCTTATCTACTGCATTAATACATTCCTCCAACACATTACCCTCTAAATCAAAAATGGGCTTCTTATAAGCCATTGTACACCATCTATTTAGAATGTAGGCCTTGGGAATTTTTTCTAACATCCTTGCCTTCCACACCCAAATCATATGCCTACAAGGCACACCATCACGTTCAAATTTTTTACAAAAACACTTGGTATCAAAGGTAGTTGGATCAAAAACAACATCAAAAGTCCTCCTTCTAGTGCCTTCCCTCAAATTGAAAATGTAAAGCTCATTGTCCTTCCTCATCTCCTCAACACCACAATTAAAACATCCAATTTCAAGCTCATATTGAAATTCATAGAAAATTGTTGTTGTAAACAATTCAGAAGCATCTTTCTCTAAAGGAATTGGAGTCTTACACTCCGGACGCTTATTCTTCGAATCATTATCCATTTTATTTTGAGTGTGCCTTTGAGCATCCAATGCACATTCAAACCTATAGAAAATAGAAATTAACTTTAAAACATAGAAGATAATTGTAGAACATAGAGTGAATTACATTAGAACATATAAATATACATGACATGTTTATTATGATCTAAATATTATTAAAACATAAAGAGAAAAAGAAAACATAAAAGAGAATTATAAAATAAATAGTAAAACTATAAAGCATAAAAAGAAAACTTTAGAGCATACAAGGAAAACTTTAGAACATAAAGAGTAACTTTAGAACATATATAGACAATTACTTATTACCTCATGTAGAACTCAATCAAAGTGAGATGGGGATTTGTGAACATAGTGAAAAAATTATTTTCACTTTCTGATCTAGATGTGGTTCTCATAATGCCACCCAAAAATAAATCTCTGAAATACGCTGGAATCCACATATCACGTATGTTGTACATGTATGCCAACCATTCATGATCGTTCAAATGGAATTCTGAAATAACTTTGTTCCACTTTTCTTCAAATTCTGCCGGCTCAATCTCTAAATGCCAAACACATGAACACAGTTTTTTCAAGAAATCAGTGTCTTGGGCAATCGCCCGACCTACTTTTTCAGGCACCTTTTTCATAATATGCCACATACAAAACCTATGTTCTGTAGTTTGAAAAACATTACGAACAGCAACTTTCATTGCAGGGTCTTGATCGGTAATCAAACACACAGGCTCGTTATTTCCCATTGCTTTAAGAAAAGTTTTGAAAACCCATTCAAAAGATGATATATCCTCATGAGCTACAAAAGAAGCCGCAAAAGTAACACATTTTTTATGATGATCAACTCCAGTAAATGGACCAAAGATCATATTATATCTGTAACATACACAAATTATTTATGCAGAAAATAGAGGTAAACTTTAGAACATAGAGGTAAATTGTAGAACATAGAGGTATACTTTAGAACATAGAGGTATACTTTAGAACATTAAGGATAAACTTTAGAGGATAGTAATTTACTTTAATTATTAAACTTGGCAGTAATATAGTTGTTTTAAAACATAATGAATTACTCTAAAACATAAACACTAAACTAAAAATATACAGTAAAGCTTTAAAAACTTATAAGTAAACTTTAGAACATATAGACATAATGTTTAGAACATGATGGATATTAGTTTAGAACACAAAGAATAAAGTATAAAACACAAAAGCATAATGTTTAAAGCATAAAAGCATGATGGATATATTTTAAAGCATAAGGTAGAACATTAGCAATATATGTTTAGAACATAAGGCATACATAGTTTAGAACATAAAGAATATTTGTTTAGAACATCAAAACATGATGGATATTTGTTTAGGAACACAAGGCATGATATTTAGAATATAAGAACATATGTTTAAAAAATTAATATGTAAAAGTAAAATATTAATTACATTATGAAAGAAATTTATATTTAAAACATCACCTGTTTGTTTTGAATGTGGTATCAAAAGAAACCATATCACCAAAAAGTGCATAATTTTTTCGACAGATTGGATCAGCCCATAAAGCTCTACAAAGTCTATCTTCTTCATCAACATCATAGGAAAAAAAAATGCACTCCAGAGCACTTTCTTATTTTGAAAATTATCCACAAACATTTGGGCATCTGATCCATCAATATAAGCCTTCAAATCTCTATAAAAATTTTTGAAATCTTGTTTAGATGCACCAACATTATCATGTGATCCAGCTAATTCTTTCATCATAGTATAAGACCTCACAGGACCAACATTTACCTGTTAGAAAAAAAAAATATTACTAAGATTAAGAATTAACTTTAGAACATAGTAAATCAAAACAAAAAAAAAACATTATTTAGTACATAAAAATAAATCACCTTTGAATTATCAACAATCAACTTTTTATGCATAATATGCATTTTTCTATTATCCTTCTGAAATTTTGCACAACTTGGAGTATATAAAGGATGATTATGTTCTTCTTTGAAATGAGTTACAACATACTTTCCAGCATCATATCTCATACATATGTGAGCATTGCATCCTACACGAGTGACTAAACGTTTCCTAGTAATATGAACTTTTCCTTCTTCATAAACTGTTTGTTGAGCAATAGGTTTTCTTATTGCCCTAAAACCTTCCTTATTGCAAACTCCATATTGAAAAGCAATTATATCTTTGTTATTCTTCTTCCTTTTAGTAGTAGATTTCCTAGAAGTAAACCCAGCGGCATTTGCATATGCTTTATAAAAACTAAGACCCTCTTCAGGATCTTTAAATATCATACCCAAACTGGGTTTTAACTCCTTGGGAACATTTGGAATCCATTCCTTAGTGGTACCACCAGGGCTAAATGATCCAACAACCTCTGGAGTACGATAAATATCACCAACTGCATTAGAACATGAAAGTAAACATTAGAACATACAATGAAAGTCATAGAATATGAAGAAAACATTAGCACATAATAAAAAACTTTATAATATAAAGAGAAAGATACATAGAAAACTTTAGAACATACAGAGAAAACTTTAGAACATCAAGGATAACCTTTAGAACATAGTAAATTAGGGACATCCTTATAACATATTGCTTTAGAACATAGTGAATTACTTTATAACATACATAATAAAATTTAGAATAAAGTAAAAAAATTAAACTAAAAGGTTAACTTTAGAACATACAATGAAAGTAAACATTAGAACATAAAAAGTAAAATTTAAAACTAGAAGGTAAACTTTAGAACATAGAATGAAAGTTTTAGAATATAAAGATAAAGTAGGATTCCCTACTCCCTATGTCAGATTGGTGGGGCCATGGTTTGGTGATTCCAGTGGCAGTGACATGCATCAACTATCCCTATGTCAGATTTCTAGGATAAAGTAGCATTCCCAACTCCCAAGCCCCCAATGCCCAGCTCCAAGACGAGCCTTGAGGTTGTTGTGGCATTATCCAATAATGATCGATATTGTTTACCCACAGTTTACTTTGAATCATTACAAATTATTTAAAATGGATTAGATATTTTTTATTTATCAAATTAATTAACTTCCTCAATAATGATCAATATTGTTTACCCACACGTACTACTTTTTATAATCCTTCATCAACCACTCTTTCATACTCCGATGTATTCTGCATTCTAAAAGGAGTTCAATAGGCAACGGAACATGGCATTTGCACTTATCATTCGGATGGGAACATATAGAGAAAACTTTAGAACATTACCGATAAACTTTAGAACATAGTAAAGAAACTTTAGAACATGTAAGTAAATTGAAATTAAAACATTAAAAACAATAAAATTACCTGAATGAGTAACACAAGAAGAAGGATAATTAGGTTGAACACCATCTAAATCCATCAATATGCAAAAACCTATTTAAAAAAACACATATTGTAGCAAAAAAGCAACTAGAAATTAAAATCCATTAAAAAACAAAAATATGGAAAAAAAAACTCAAGCAAAGGAAAAAACAGAACAATCTGGAAATGAAAAATCACAAAAAAAACAGAAAATTAATGAAAAAAAACTGAAGAAAATTCGCAAAAAAAAAAAAATAGATAAAATCGAAAAAAACAAAAAATAATTGCTCGAAAGTAGGAAAAAAAAAACAAAAAAACATATAACATTGAAAAAATCTGGAAATGAAAAATCGAAGAAGAAAGAGAAAACTAGAAAATGAAATTGATGAAATTAATGAAAAAAACTCAAGAAAATTCGCAAAAAAAAAAAAAAAAAAAAAAAGATAAAATCGACATAAACTTACATTAATCTCAATAATAAAAAAAATGAATGATGAAATCGCAAAAAGAAAAAAAAAAACAGATTTTTGCTGATTTTCGAATTGATGAATTGCATATCCACAAATAATATGAAAAATAAAATTTCACACAAATTCGCCAAAATAAAAAAAAAATCAACAAAAATTCGCAAAGAATAGATATCAATAAATAAATTAACTAAAAGAATTATCAAAATTATAAAAATTGAATAACAAACCTTAATTTCTTGAAGGAATTTGCATCCAAAAGTATGAGAAGAGAGAGAGTTGTAATGTATGAGAGGAGAGAGAAAGAGTTGTAAATTTGTAATGTATGAGAGGAGAGAGAGAGCTGTAATGTTCAAAGCCCAAAAAAAAAGGAAAGAAGAACCGTGAATGAGGAGAAAGAAAGGGAAAAGAACAGCAAAAATTACTAAAATGCCATTACTAATCATTCATTTTCAGCGGTCAGATCAAACTAATTGTACGGTCCAGATTAGTTCTTATATATAATGGGTTCTTATATAGAGGAGGGTTCTTACATGAGCCTTCCTCTATATATATATATATATATATCAGAAATCCTAAATACCTTTGTCCTTCATCCGCCCCATTCAGCTTTCTCCATCATCACTCTCTCTCATCTTGTGATCTTGTCCCTCCTCCTTTCCTTTTCTACATAAAATGCAATCTTCTATTTATTATTTTCCTTCATTGTGTATTCATATAATTTAAATATATATTAATTTTTTGGGGATGTTGAAGATGAAACGAAAACTCAATTTCATTAAAGTTGTATGCAAGGAAGCACAAGAGTGACGTACACGATTTGATTTTTTTTTTTAATTATGTATGATGTATCTCGGTTATTTTTGAGAATATTGGTGGGCACATTTAAGCCTGTAAAAGTTGAATTTGTAAAATATTTTAGACGGTTTATCTATTAGATCTTGTTATTTTGTCATTAAAATTATAAATTTTGCTTAGAAATATCACAAACCTAAGAGAAATTAAGTAAATGGATTGGATTCGGTTTCAGCATTGGAAATTTGGTTCGATTTGAATAATTGGACTGAATTTCAATTCGGTGTGGATTTGGATTGAAAAAACTAAAACCGAATTATTTGGGTTTGGGGCATAATCCAAATCGAAAATCGAAATTTCACCCCTACCTCTTGTATTGCCCTTACCTTATTTATATTTGTTTTTTTGTTTTTCTCTATCTTAGAGTAACTTTTTTTTTTAAACTCTAAAATGTATTACTATTATTCATGGTTTAGTTGAAATCACTGTTCTATGTACTTCCTCCGTTTTTTTATTGTTATTTGGAATTCTACACTATTCACGCACACTCCTTTGATCATTTTTCATGATTTATACGTTGGAAAATATAGTCACGTGGAATCTTATTAAATTCGTTTCCGAAGTACATTTTCATAAAGTATTACTTAATTTCATGTGTTTTTATCATATAATTGAATTATATAAAATAATTTTTTTCCCATATGATTATCGAATGTAGATTATACCAACGACTCTAATTTATCAAATGTTAAATCAAGTTCAAGGGCACCAAGAATCATGTTCCAAAGGATCATGAAGATGGACACAACTGTATATGGAATGACTGCTTACCCTCCTATATTCTCTCCCCACTTATTTAATTTTGTCAAAGATTTCATGTGAAGATGCTATGTATAAAAGGAAAATTTTGAAGAATGTCATTCATTCTTTCAGCAAAGGCAAGACATTATGAGTAGATTTGGTGCCTGCATAACTTATGACACCTCTATTAATTCCGTGGATAGATGATTGCATTCGAATTAGTACATCTTCTTGCAAGATATTCCCTACAACATTTTGTTAAAGAAAATGTCACTTTAGTGACGAATACCTCAATAAGTACAATGAAAAAGATTTGGTAGTCTACTGGGAATTGGAGAACGTCGAGTATTTCCAAGGTTCCATTGATTTATGCATTGGTGATGGAATAGTTGTCCACTTCGGTTGAAAGGTATAATTTCTAGAAAAGCAAGTAAATTCACATTGATCTTGGAAGTTGAGCTATCACTTGATCTTGGGATCTGGCATGCTTTTGTTGGGATACCAAGTAGTCGTAATGACATTAATATCCATGATAAATTCCCTTTATTTAATGATTTTTTTTGCACTACCTATTATCTATGTTGTGAATGATTGTCAATATAATATGAGGTGTTATCTTAATGATGGTACATATCCTAAATGTGCAACATTTATTCCTACAATTTTACTAGTTTAACTACTACAAAATAAAAAAGGCTTTTTTGCCAAGCTACAAGAAGCTAGGCAAAAGAATGTTGAGCTTGCTTTTGGAGTACTACAAGCTCGTTCAGCAATAATACAGAATCTTGTGCTAGCTTATGATGCATCAATGTTAGGAAAAATAATGGTAGCTTGTATCATTGTACACAATATGATCATGAAGGACGAAAGAGATACATATGAAATGTATACCGAATGAATATCAACAAGCCACACCAACATCTTCAAGTAATGAAAATAATGAAGAACCTTTTTAGTTCCAAAGTAGCCACTACCAAATTGCAAGTTTGAATTTTACATCTTAATAGAGCTCGTTGTCACAAGTCATCTCCCTCATATCATCAAATAGGCGTCAAATAGGTCACTATACAACAAGGCATAATCATGGCTAAGGGTGCTTGCCCTTAGTGCCTAGTAGCACACTTCTCCCTATAAGCTTTACTTTGTATTGGTCTTATATTTCTAATGAACACCCGTTCGATGCTAACACAATAATGGGCCATTTGGAGGGACAAATGAACTCTAAATGGGCTTCATATTGGGTGTCCACCATATTTTGGTCCAAAGAACATAATGGAAGTGTCACTTTTCCAAGATGAGATCCCAAAATATGAGTTTAGGCAGCAAGGAGCACGGAAAATGCGAGAGAGTTCTAGAAGGTTCTGGACATCTCTTGGAGGTTCTTTGGGGGAGTATTCTAGAGGGGATAACTCTAGAATATCCAAGGATCATCTTGTACTTAGTAGAAATTTTCTAAGGTCAACATATAATATTCTAGAATGTGCTAAGCTTCTCTTATACATTCTAAAATGGGTGTGTGTAGAACCTCCTTGTATGTAGCTCCTTTGGAGGTGGGAACTATCTAGAAGGTAGTCTAAAACCTCTAAGTAAGTTAGGAAGAATCTAAAGAAACCTTGTAAGTAGGATAGAGCACTATAAATAGGCTCCTAGGATCATTTGTACATATTAGTCAACAACCTTCAAATTGTATTCTTTCTTCGAGTAATCAAAGCATTATCTTGAAAAATACTTGTGAATAGGCTTGGTTATTGGGCGGGTTAGAGTGGGTCAGTACGGGTCAATAATGGGGTGGGTCTGTTGAGGGTCAGTGTGGGCTACGGTTGGGTCAGGGTCAGAAGCTAAGTAGAAAAGGGTAATTATTGGGCTCCATACCAGGAAAAATTTCATAATGAATGAATTGCATTTTATCCATTAAAAATATTTATAAAAGATAAAAAAGTAAAAAAGTAAAAAAATAAATAAATAAATAAAGAAAAAAAAATTGAAATGTGAAAATTGGTTAAAAATAGATATTTATTTACAAATTTAATATCAATTTACAATTTTATTTGAACTATAGAGAAGTAGATTCAGAGCACCAATTATTCGGGGGAAAAAAAAAATCAGAGCAGCAATTCTTCAAGATTAAAAAAAAGGATTCAGCGCCGTAAAAATTAGATACGGAATACGAAGAGGAGAGAGGGGAATGAACTGACAAATTAAAAATTTAATGTTGACTGGCTAGGCCGATTATTGGTTTCCAATAAAAACACCATTTAACATAAAGTTCAATAATAACCTTGTCCATTAAAAGTAAAAGGATCATGACATTTTAATCTATATACTATGTTGATATATGAAAATTATGGAGTTAAGGGGTTGCAATGTTATAAAACTAATGGAAGAATTGATATTGATGATAAAATGGGTTAGTTGTTATCGAATATTAATAAAAGAAATGGAAATTTCCAACAAAATTGTTAAATTTATCTACAATATATAATGATAATAATCTTATTTTATCACATATTTCTCAACCTTTAATTTCCAAACATTTTTTTTTATTATTGATATTTTTTTTTATTTACTATTGCCTCAGTTATTTTTTATTTATTTATTTTTCACTCTTTTATCTCTGTCTTCAAAAATGCTAAAGAAAATATTAACATTTCAAATAATATATGCCATGCATTATTTTACTTTACCTTTTTACCATAACATTATACTTCAACATCCAATAGTTAGTAACCTTCACATTCTGCAGATAGCCAAAAATTCTTGATCTACATTAACTATATATACCCAAAACTTACAGCAATGAATGCATCATCTAGTAACCCTTCCATAAAATAATCAGATCAGCTAGTAAAGCATCGTTTACCCCATCGATCACTAGCCTAAACAATTGGCGAGCATTTCAGGAAGATAAATTTGAGGACACATACAAATCATTGATCAAAAGAAGGTAGACCCCACGACTCAGGCTGAAAATCCAAAAGAGACTGAAGACTGGAATCGGCCAAGGCAGCAGCATCAGCCTCAGATTGAGAAGGGACAACCACTACCTTCATTCCAGCCGCTTTTGCAGCTTTAACACCTATCCTGTTGATTTATATGACAAAAGATAATCAGCTTCATACACAGAATGTAAATTTTGTCCATAAAAACATCTGACATCAATTTTCAATCATCCTAACCTTGTTTAATCAAATGTAAAGAACATATTAAGTATATTAGACCATTTTTTATTTTTATTTTTTAAAAATAATTCTATTTAACAAGGCTCCCTTGTTTAAGTCCATTTATGACTATACCGAGACCTATCTATGCTATACATTGTTTTGTTAAGTCTTAAAACTTGGTATGATATATTGCCAATAAACGGTTTTGTTACGTCTTAAAACTCGGTATAATATATGTCATGTTGCTGACATGAAATGACATGACATATTTCTCACTCCATACCAAGTTTCAAGACCTAACAAAATCATTTGTAGCATTAGAGTAGATAGGATTTAGAGTATTGAATGGAGTCTTGAAAAAATCAAATCTCAAGTTAAGACGCAATTTGTTAGTAGAATAGTATTATTAGTACAAAAAAATAAAGAAAAAAAAAATAATTGGGAGATATTAAATGGATACAGGGGTAAAGGAAAGGATTCGGTTGAGTTTGAAGAAATATAACATTATTACTCCCTCCGTCCCTTATATTTTGCCCCATAGTGTAATGTTACTTTATTAAGTTTTGATTGGAAAAAAGTGATGAGAGAGAAAAGTGGTGGGGTTAATGGGGTGATTGTGAGATTAGAAATGTGGACCCATATGTCCAAAAATAGAATGGGGCAAAATTAAAGAGACAGACTAAAAAGAAAATTAGGGCAAAAATTAAGGGATAGAGAGAGTACATGTTATTGAAAGACGTGTCATAAGGTAAAAGTCTTAAAACAAAATTATGCTAATCTTGCTCTAAAATCTTAAGATATTAATCTTAATATTGAATTATACGCATTAACTTTCATTTGAATTATACAATATCTTAGGGTTGAAAATATCTCAAGACTGGTAATTTCAAATGAAAATTTCTTAAGATTAATGTTTTTATTTGAAATTATCTTAATTCTTAACCAAAAGAAATTCAAATTGAAAATTAAATCTTAAGTTCAACAAATGATATCTTAATTTTCACCGTTGAACATTGATTGATTAAACTCTCATTAACCACGCTTCTTCTTTTTTGGTAAGACTATCGGGCCAAACATAGGCTAGTGCAAGGTCTTAAGCCGCAAAATACCAAGTCACATGCACCTTTCTTAATCACTCTCGAAAAATAACCCAGCATGGTCCTATAAATAGTAGTTGCATTACTTTCAATTCATCTAATAGGAACACAAACAAACACACCTTCAACTAAAATATCTTCTACATTCGAGTACTATGTCATTAGATCTTTTATAATCAGTGTTTTTTTAACAAAAAAAAAAAAAAAAAAAAAAAAACTATCTTTGGTAACTTTTTAATCAAATAGTTATCTTTTCAAAGCCAAAAGTTTATATTTCAGTATCCAATAATGAAAACCATATATTTTTGGTACTAATAAAAAAGAAAAATATTGGTACTTAGGGTAATAACAAACTATGTTACATGGACTCGGAAACCCATGTCCGACATGGGTACATGTTTAAGTGTCCGACTCGATTTTATAAAAAAGTTCCATCATTTTGAACTAAAAGTGAAGTGTCCAAGTGTCATACCATGTCCGAGTGTTGAGGGTACGACATGGTACTTGAGGTGAAATGAAGAGTCCATATATGTAAGATAGATAACAAAGCCTATATTTTAATCAAATCAATCAATAACATAATACTAAAACAGACACCGTATCACTTCCTGGTGTAGTTTTTTCCCTCCAAAACTTATTTCCAAGAAAAAAAAAAATTAGTAATGAAAGATATTCTTAATCATCATTCTATATATTTTTTTGTTTACTATGTATTTATGGAAATAACTAAAAATAAAATATTATAATAAACTTAAATAATTAGACTTTATAGTACTAGATTATATTATAATATAATAATAAAAGGAACTAATTTGCCGCATACATTATTTATCGCATTAAACATAGAATGATTGTTTAAGTTAATCAACCATAAAACCTTTGATAACTAAGTATTATATTTAAAATGGATATATCAAATGTATACATATTTTAACATCTATATATTTTGGCATTAATCATACATACAAGTTGCATGAATTTGTAACTATCTTTTTTTTTTTTATTATTATTTTTATTTTTTATTCAATCATAATATTTTTAGATCAAAACTACACTTTTATGAGTAAACTGTAAGCACATATTTAATTCAACTAACTGATACTCTAATAGAACAATTATCTTAATAATGTACAATTAATATATTTTTTTTGAGTATATGAGTCATATTTTAGTGAATATTAGTCAAATTTTACATAAGCCTTCTGAATAACTAATCATTTTCCATAGCCTTATATAATTGATTTTTTTTTCCCCCTGTAAAACCTATGTATAGAGTTTTTTAGTAAGTCCTTTACTAATTTGAGGTGTTTATGATAAAATTGACATGACTCCTTCTAAAATTAGCTCCGCCTATATAATGTGAATTGAAAATTCATTCCATAATTTTTGTGTTGGCCATTATTGTAAATTACATATATAACATGTAATGATGCATTTATTAATATACTAGAGTCCAATAATACTTAACAAATAAATTTATTTTAAATTATCAACAAAATAAATATATTTTTAAATCGTGCATCGCACGGCCACTTTACTCGTTGCTACTAATAAAGAAGTGTAATAGTACTTATTTATTACCACTTAAGGACTACTTTAGTACCAATTAATATTTATCAGTACCAAATTGAAAGAATTCATTAGTTGGCAGTGAAACAATTTAACTTTAAGAATTCATTATTTGATGTTGTTGATGTTCCATTTTCGGGTCCGAAATTTACTTGGACAAATATGCGGCAAGGTGATGATTTAATAATGGAAAGATTGGATAGGGGTTATGTCACTTCGGGTTGGTTGGAGGACTTTTCGGATGGCCGGATTTTTCATGAGCCAATCCTAATCTCTGACCATGCAGCTATTGTGTATGACTCGAATCCACTACAAGTTCGGTCAAATCGGTCGTACCAACTGGAACAATGGTGTCTTAATTTCCCGGAGGTTAAAAATCAGGTTGGTTGTTTTTGGCCTACTCTTTTCCAAGGGTCCCTGGCTTTTATTCTTGCTAGGAGGCAATGTCTGGTTTGTTCTCATATTCAAAAATGGTGCCTTGTTAACAAAAAATTTTGGGGGGTGAGTTGGAGGGGGTTCACGAATGATCTTTTGTCTCTTGGTTCAGCAATTAATACCATTCATGAAGGGGGTGCTTTTGTTCAATCCCTGTCGAATATTGTTCATCAATGTCGTCTACCGGCGGCAGCACCTTAAGTGTAACTGGCTAAAAGAGGGTGATGCTCCAACTAAGAGGCTTTTCCTACAAGTTAAGAAAAGGAGTAAATTGAATGAGATTCTCACTTTGCGAGATGAATAAGGTTCATGGGTTGAGGGTCATGCGGCTGTTTCTACGTTGATTACTATTTCTCTGCAAACTCTTTTCAATCCTGTTGTTGACAATGAACATGGCACATATATTGATCTCCTCTTACAGGATATTCATTTTCCTTCTTTGTCAAATGCGGATGTTGTGTCTTTGGAACACCCTTTCACACAGACTGAGGTCCAAAATGCAATGTTTGATATTGCTGCTTCTTAGTCTCCGGGACCGGATGGGTTTATTGCTGAATTTTTCCAGACTAATTGGGCGATTGTTAGAGATTCGGTAGTGGACAGTGTTCTTCATTTCTTTTCTACAAGATACTTGCTCAAGGAGTTCAATTCCACTCTCTTAGTCATGATTCCGAAAGTTGATACACCTGAATTGGCCTCGCAATTCCGACCGATTAGCCTTTGTAATACGATCTATAAATGTATTCCCAAATGCCTGGTTAAGCGTCTCAAGTTGGTGTTGCCCACTTTAATTTCGGATTATCAGCATGCTTTTATTCCGAGACGGCATATGGAGGACAATATTTACCTTTCACACGAGCTTTTGAACTTTATTAATACTAGACGACATTCAACTCGTCTAACGGCAATTAAGGTGGATATGTCCAAAGCTTATGATAGGGTTGATTGGCTTTTTCTGATCAAAGCTTTGCGGGCTTATGGGTTTCCAGATCGATGGCTACACTGGATCTCACAGTGCAATTCCACAGCTTCCTTCCGCACTATAGTTAATGGCCAGTCGTCAGAGGCTTTTCGTCCACAGTGTGGTCTCTGACAAGGAGACCCTCTCTCTTCGTATTTGTTCTTATTCTGTATGGATGTCCTTTCTCGAAAGATGACTTTGGCTGAGGACATAAAGCTCTTTCATGGTGTGAAAATTTCAAGAAGGTCACCTTCTATCTCTCATCTCTTCTTTGCGGATGATGCTTTATTTTTCTTTAAGGCTAGTTCAGAGTCATGCTTGGCAATTGCAGATATCCTCCATAGATTTGGCAGAGCATCGGGTCAACAGATTAATGTTAACATGTCATTTGTTAAGTTTAGTCCCTCAGTCTCTTCATCTGATGCAGCACTGTTTAAGGACATCCTTAAGGTTACGCCAGTGTCTCACATGGGGAATCATTTAGGGGTTCCTTTTGATATTACAGGGAAGAAGTCGGACCACTTTGGCTATTTAGTTGAGAAGGTGAAGGAGAAAATCTTGTCTTGGTCTACTTATAGACTTTCGAAGGCAGCTAAACTCATCTTGATGAATACGGTCCTTCTTGGGATATCCTCCCATGTTATGAAGTCTTTTAAGTTACCTTTGGCAGTCACTAATAAGATTGACTCATTGATCACGCGGTTTTGGTGGGCCAAATAGGGAGTTCGTAGTACACATTGGGTGAAAAGAGAAATTATCCAGCAACCAAAAGGAATGGGGGGCTAGGCATCTGGTCAGCTTCTGTAATGAATGATGCCTTACTTTTCAAGCAGATTCAGAGGATGCATGTTCATCCTCAATTGCTGGCAGCTTGACTCTTCAATTATAGGCAACCGTATTTTTTATGCCCTGGCATTGCTCATAGTGGCTTCTCGGGTACGGTCTCCTGGGCTAGACGAAGTTTGGTTAATGTTATGCTTAAAGTTAGGCAAGGCTGTGCTTGGAAGATAGGATTAGGACGAAACTTGCTTGCTTGTAGTACTAAATGGGTCAATTCGAAGATTCCAGTTGTGCATTCGAACCAGAACTTAGCGGCAAGTATGTCTTGGAAAGTTATTGACCTCATTAATCAGTATACTAGGACTTGGGATGCTGCAATTGTTCGTCGGCGTTTTGAGTGGGAAAGTGCCAAGGAAATCTTAAAATTGGAGCTACCGCCTAAAGAGGAGGCAGATTTGTATTAGCCTGTACAGGTATTTATACGGTAAAAACAGGATATACTTTCCTTACTGACTTTCAGAACCGCCCCATCGGAAGGAAAGCTTTGATTTTTTCAAATTTATTTGGTGCCTTCAGATCCCCCCTAAGTGGCATATTTTCTTGTGGAAATTGGGCCACAATGGTAAACCTGTGATGGCTAACCTTGAGGCCCGAGGTATGGATTTAGATACTATGTGTCAACTTGTGATAGTGGTGATCGGGAAGATGCTATGCATTAGTTTTTGTTCTGCTCTTTGGCTAAGTATGCATGGAAAACAGCTAGTGCAACTTTTGTCAACAATTACTCTGCATTTATTTCTATTCAGGAATGGGTGCAGAAGCTTTTCCTTCTTTTTTATAGTCAGGATGGTGTCCATAGTACGGGTATTCAACACTTTGTTGCTACTCTGTGGGCTCTATGGGTAACTAGGAACCAATAGGTCCTAGGTCTCAAGTGTTACCTGGGTCTACGCAGGCTTACAAGTTAAAGTATCCAAGTGTCATACCTATATCCGAGTGTCGAGGGTCCGACATGGTACTTAAGGTGAAATGAAGAGTCCATATATGTAAAATAGATAACAAAGCCTATATTTTAATCCATCAATCAATAACATAATACTAAGATAGACACCGTGTCACTTCCTGGTGTAGTTTTTTCCCTCCAAAACTTATTTCCAAAAATAAAAAAAAAAAATTAAAAAAAAAATTAGTAATGAAAGATATTCTTAATCATTCTATATATTTTTTTGTTCACTATGTATTTATGGAAATAACTAAAAATAAAAGATTAAAATAGACTTAAATAATTAGACTTTATAGTACTAGATTATATTATAATATAATAATAAAAGGAACTAATTTATCACATACATTATTTATCGCATTAAACATAGAATAATTGTTTAAATCAATCAACCATAAAAACTTAGATAACTCAATATTATATTTAAAATTGATATATCAAATGTATACATATTTTTGCATCTATATATTTTTGGCATTAATCATACATAAAAGTTGCATGAATATGCGACTATCTTTTTTTTATTTTTATTCAATCATAATATTTTTAGATCAAAACCACACTTTTATGAGTAAGCTGTAAGCACATATTTAATTCAACTAATTGATACTCTAATAGAAATATTATCTTAATAATGTACTATTAGTACATTTTTTTTGGAGTATATGAGTCATATTTTAGTGAATTTTAGTCAAATTTTACATAAGCCTTCTGAAATAACTAATCATTTTCCAAAGCCTTATATAATTGATTTTTTTTTTCTTGTAAAACCTATATATAGAGTTTTTTTAGTAAGGCCTTTACTAATTTGAGGTGTTTATGATAAAATTGATCCGACTCCTAAAATTAACTCCGCCTATATAATGTTAATTGAAAATTCATTCCATAACTTTTGTGTTGGCCATTATTATAAATTATATATATATCATGTAATGATGCATTTATTAATATACTAGAGTCCAATAAAACTTAAGATTGAAATTTATTTTAAATTATCAACAAAATAAATATGTTTTTAAACCGTGCATTGCACGGGCACTGTACTAGTTGGTACTAATAAAGAAGTGTAATAGTACTTATTTATTACCACTTAAGGACTACTTTAGTACCAATTAGTATTTATCAGTACCAAATTGAAAGAATTCATTAGTTGGCAGTGAAACAATTTAACTTTAAGCATTGAAAAGATAATTATTTAATTAAAAAAAACACAAAAGGTAGTTATTTGAATAACATTGTTTATAAATGGTAATTAATTACAAAATAGCCTCCAAATTCCATAGATTTCTGACCATGGGTTGCAGCTTAGTATCCCAACGGCAATAAGCTATGCTAGTGGAAGGGGGAGAAAAGAAAAGGACTCCTAGGAGAATGTAATTCAAAAATCTTCTGCAACTTCTAGGATGATTATTTATAAGGTGACTTGAAGTGCAGAAAGTAGCGAGAACTTCTATACAAAGTAGAACCATTCTGACATATATTATTGCTTGCATGGATTAAAAAGGAGTGAAGATTCCCTACCCCCATGGAGTGACTTAATAAAAACATCCTATTCTTATCATCTTAACAACTACAACAGTTGAAAAAGAAACTACTCCATCATGTATATCAGCACAGTCCAATTGCTAATCTAGATTCTGTAATCTTTGCCCCCTCCATCAAAACAACAAATAAATATCTCAAATCCAAGTAAGAGACAAGCAATTCCAAAAGTAATTCACAAAAGGTTAAGCAGCAGTACTCAAATGTGTAAGTTAACAGACCTAAATCTAAATAGCAGCAGACCATAAACCTAGTGCATGAATATCCCTACTTACAGAGAATATACAGTTCATATTTACATAGCTTTGCCTTAATTGCATGAATGTTCTGCGTTATTAGACCTTCAGTTCAAATTATCAAAGTATTTTACTTCATAACAAGTTTGAGAGCAGGACAGCCAATGTTTTTAAAGATACTATGAATAGCCATTTATAACCGCAAAAACTAAACAGGAAACCACTAACTATCTGACTCTTTACTCACAAGACAATGACCTCCTGCAGAGTAACAAATACTTGAGCATAATATCTGTAGAATAAACTTACAAAGAGTCCTCTATAACCAGGCAATTAACAGGATCCACTGATAGTCTTTTTGCAGCCTCCAGATATCTGACAATCACAGAATTAATATCAGAAGAGAAGAAATAGGTGAATATCTGGACGAGAAATACATCAAGACAGCATGTCACATGAAGTTTAAAACCGAGCAGGCGAGCACTGAGATAAATGAAATTTAGTCTACAAGAGTTCAGTATAAAACCTGATATAAGATAAATAGGAGGATTTCCATTAGTCACTACGATGCCAAATTTGTCAAGAGCTTAAAGACACTACAGAAAGCCACTAATGTTTAATGCCTCTAGATTTGCTTACTCTTGTATTCATTTTATTCAGTTTTGACAGACTGTTATAGTCTGAGTACTTCAACTGCTCTACCTAGAACTGATTTCAGGCCATAACAATTAACAAATACTATATTCCTTGTCCATCATTTCAAAGAGAATAAAAAGACAAAGGATAAGGGGTACAATATCTTAAAAAATACATATAATAACATTCCGTTATGTGAATTAAAAGATCTTACAAGTCTGGAAATGGTTTCCCTGATAGAACTTGGTCACTTCCAAGAATGACAGAAAACAACTCCTTCCAACCTGCACAAGATTCCAAGCATTCAACATTTCAACAGAAATGTAAGTCTATAATATGTGACTGCAAGAAAACTGGACTAAAGCCCACAAGACAATAGTTTCAAAGACTAATAAGGAAAAACTATTTTTGAGAAAGATTTTAAGTAAGAAAAGGGGTGGGGGAGACCAATAAGGAAAAGTTATTTTTGGGAAAGATCTTTCGTAATCTACACTAATGCAGTCCAGTAAAGATAGACTTCTTGATGGGAGATTCCAGCGAAACATAATGTGACCTCATTTGATATATATTTTTCTTATTGTTAAATTATAAAGATTATGAGGTACATGTTAGAAATCCATAAGTCAGTATAAAGGAAATATGACATACTTGACAGGCTAAATATTAGACCTAGCGCTAGATTATAAGCTAGAAAAGTAAAGCTGATAGTTTGATGAGGCTTTCAATTGGTGGCAAAGATATAATTATGTATCGGACTATCAGTCTTACTGAAATCTACATGATTAGCATGTAGTTCTTCAATTTATTTTTAAAACTAAACTGTGACTCTGTGGATAGCATTATAATTTTGAAATTGTCTTTGAAATCAGACAGCAACATTATAAATAACACATTTCACTTTATCAGTCAATCAGTAAAAAATAAATGAGGTGAATGTCAGCCAAAACTATGCCCTTCAATACAAAAAAGCATAAATGTGTTTCAATAAATAACAAAAAACAAACCATATAAATCTTTCAATAATAAAAAGCATAGGAACCAACTAACTAGTATTGGTAATCTTTGATCATGGAAAGTTCTCACCTTTTTGATAAGAAATTTTGGCATCTATGTATTCTTGTAGAGAGTTTGAGGCAAGAGCAAATGGGATCTGATGCTTACGGAGATGTTGGATAAGACGATTGGCACCAGGAAGTGCTTTAGCATCTTTCCACCTAAAATATATACAGGGGAAAAGAAAAAAATTAAACCTGACCTTAACTCAGGATACAAATAGGAACTTCAATCCAACAGAAATTTATGGGAGGAGCTTCTTATCACTAATAGATAATTGAAAATAGCCTCACTAATTTACTAAACACTTTAAAATCTAACAAAATCATGCTTTTTGTTTAGGGATGGGATCATGGGAGGGACTCCTCGAAGTGAAGGCTAAGAGAATGCTGGTGACACATCGCAAATAAATTCCACATCGAGTTCACAGCAGGAAACCATCCTTAAGAATTTTTCTTGAGATGTAGTTGAATTGTAAACCATCAGCCCCATTTATCGCCCCACTTCTTTTAAGAGACATCTAAAGTCAATGTCCACTTCCTTTCTATAGAAATAATTAGCATAGATTTCGGCGAACATACCATTTACTCGATATTCAGCATAACCTTCCATATAGGTGAGATTAATTTCACAGGGATGCTTTTTTTTAGGAAGGTTTACTAAGTACAATCCTAAGGCCTTAAAAGGCATTAGAGTGATTAGACTAACATTGGTATTGAGCAATGCTCGAGTCACCGAACTCGCTAAATACAGGTTAATGAGACATGTACAAACTGCATAAACTAACATCAGAACATTCCAAGTTAACCTTATCTTGGAACTACTCAAGCAAATTACTAACTCACAAACTTGCCAATTCATCATAGGTAAATATTGAAAATAGACAACAACAAAAAACTACATAAATAATAATTCAATTCTAATATATAATGAAAAAATCACAACTTTAGTATAACACAAACTATACCAAAAACAAAATTAAGTATATTTGCTGAAGACAAACTTACTTAGAACGATTCAAAGGAGTAATTTCAGCAATAAATTGATCAGGAGTAAGAGGAAGATCATAATTCTTAACAATTGCAACAGCTGTTTCTTTCTGAGTTCTTCCCACTCTTCCATGCTCTTTATCAGTAATCAAAACTTTCCCATAACTCGCCAAATAATCTCTCAAAACACATCTTGTTGCAATTTCTGCATGCAAATTTTTTTTCGAAAAAAATTAAACATTAATTACAAAAATCAATCAAATTATCACTTAAAATCCAAATTCAAACATACCCAACAAAATTAAAATTCAAAATTTAAACCTGTATCCAAAAGGGTACCATCCAAATCAAGAATTACAGCAGAAATTTTTGCCCCATAATTGGAATCGTTAATAGTCATGGCTAAGATTTGTTAGAGAGAAATTTTGTTTGGAATTGATAAAGAGGATGATGAAATAATAAAACGGCGGTGTATTTATAAATGGAGATAGAATTATTCCGTTTTCGATAGAAGTATCGGAAATTGATGCTGATTTGAAGTTGGAAATTTGGCAATGTGTCCATCTTATTGAGAATGATTGGGGAAATTTGGGTACGGAAACTTTTATATACCTTTCGTTTCTCTTTCAAATTTGTCCATTTTTGGAAAGTATACTTCGCAAACGGAAATAAATTCTTACTTTTGAATGAAGTTGACAAATGAGTCAAGTTCGTGTCATATTTGGGCCATGAGTCATTAAATTTTACTCGTACTTAGATTGAGATAATCTAATATCGAGTAAGTCAAATAATGTTAACTTTATGGCAAATATTGCCACTATATTAAGATATTAGTTCAAAACCCGTGTTATGCACAGTTTTACAATAATATCTTATTATTCGTTTATTGAAAACTATACAAAATGAAATTATTGTAAGTTAAAAAACATTTTAAAAAAGGTACAATAAACAATGTTATATACTACTCCGTATAAGATTAATCTCAATGTCTAATTTATGGAAGTAATAACAATATTTTAGTATTCGTAATATGAAAGCATACTCTTGTTCTTAATTAAAAAGCAATCACTATTCATAAAAATAATAATAATAATAATAATAATACTTTTTGATAATATCTAAAGTAGTTTTTTATTAATATTACATAATATTTCTTATAACAAACTTCTTTCAATAAAAAAAAATAAATAAATAAATTAATTAATTAATAAATAAATAAGTAACAAAAATTTTTGGTTACGGAGATTACTTTAGCATATAATAAAATATAGATGGGATATATTTTGTAAGATATGATAATATTATAGTGTGAATAGATATCTTAGAGAAGATTGTGATTATACTATGACTTTATGAGTCCAAAAACCAATTTATACTTCGTATTTAGCAAAGTAATACTTCGTAACACTTAATTATAATAACATACTACATTCGTTTCAATTTATTTGCAACAACGTGATATTCACCAACATCTAGGTAAAATTTGTTTGTAGTTTTTGTTTGGTTCGACATGGGAAATAAATTTTCACTTGCTAATTGCATAAAAATTGTGCAAATGTGTTTGGTTGACATTATGAAAATTAATATTTCCTAGGAATTACTTCCTATGCATTGTAAGAATTCACTTGTCTAGGGGGGGCTTGGTGAGTTATTTCCCATACTAGGTAGGAATTTACATTGCCCTTAAAAATTTCATTTTCTAGGAAATTTCTAACCAAACACAACATAGTACTATGTAAGGTATAAATGGAGAGTAAAAAATAAAATTGCGTGTGATAAAGAGAAAGCTAGAAAGAAATGACAAGTAAAAACAGAAAGAAAACATTTGTTGAAAATAATTTGGAGTATCCACTTATGGTAAATATTGCAAATAAATTAAAACTGATAAAGTACTTATTTTGTTCGTTTAATATTGCAACCTTTACCCATTATAAATTTTCAACTAAGGTGGAGGTGGAGGAATTTGATATTATAAATTCACAATTTTTAGTTTTTGCAAAACAAATTACTGTATTTGAAATTGGAATAGTATAAAATTGAATTTGAATTGGAATTTCGAGAATTGAAATTATAAAAAACTGCTATGAAGTCCATCCCAGACACTTTATCAATGGTTTCTATAATGCTACATGTTTTTGTATTAGTATGAAACAAAATTATAAAATGGTTTTAAATAATAAATAATACTATAAAATATCTAAATATGCTCTAATTAAAAAAATTCTCCATAGTAAACAATTACTACTTTAGAAATAATATTTAAATATATATATAAAAATATTTTTTTTTCCTTAAAAAAAAATACGTAGTATTAGATTTCCTATCAAAATAGTTTGAACCATTGACCAACCATGATCAAAGGTGGACACAAATCACACAATACCATGACAAGAAAGCATAAATTCAATCTTTCACAAACATTTTGCCCTTACCAATTAAAAAATTAAATGCAAGAAAAACCATGAGTCCACGATAACAGTATGCAGCAATGGCATGCTCAAGGCCTAAGCCAATAATTTGTTCAGCAATGGCATGCTCAAGGCCTAAGCCAAAGAAAGGAAATAGGCAATTGATCAACGATGTGATCCAAGACATCACACAGTTTCTTGCATATTATGGCAACATCAGCCAATATTATTCTCATTTTTGTTCCTGTGAGCCCAGAAAGGGATTGCAGGAGTTAGGAAACACACTCAACCCTAAATGTGCAGCAGTCCCTTGAATTACAAAAAATAATTTCACTCCTTGAATAAAACATATAACTTGGGGAAGAAAAACCCAAAACAACACAAGGCCTCGAAAAATATTACTCAATAACCTTAAGAGCAGCCATAATGAAGTTAAGAGGTCTGATACACATACCAAGAAGTATGGGAATAGAGAATATCGTTTGGGAGGGAGGAGAAAAAAAGAACTACTATCAATCTTAAAAGACATTAAATGGTCGAAACTGATTCATGGCATCATCAGCCACGCCTCAAACCTTATCTTCCAGGGCTGTCAAGAGAAGCAAGGAGACACAAATGGGAGTATCATATTTTTGTGTGCATCAAAGCCTCTAATAGCCCACATGGCACAATGCCATGTTACAAAAAGCAAAAGAAAAGAAAGATCCAAATCATCTTCTCTACTTCTTAACTAAAACACCACGACCCCAAGTTTCATGCCAATGCTCTTCACTGCAAAGAACGAGTAATTAAACGATTACAATTGATGTTATAGATGGATCAGTAGGGGAAAAAAAAGAAGAAGAAAAAAACATGCAATTTTTGGATCATAAACCAACTAACCTCTGCATCTTCACCAGCATGTGATTTTGCACCATCTCCCTTTTGGAGGAAGTCTTCTGTTTTAAGATCAGGATAAAAAGTATCAGAGCTTACGAACTGATAGAAGCAGCTAAAGATAATAATAAAATAAATCATGAAGCTAATGCAATATAACTTGGCCACATATAGCTGTGCCAGATTTTGATCAAACTCAGCACATCCCACGAAAGGAACTTTTTCTGATAAGGTAACAAAAGATATATAGATACGCTGAAAGATAATTCTAACAGGTGTGCAAATTTCTACTAAACCTAAAAACATAACCACAAACCATCTATGGATTATTTTGACCTTGTTTAATGCTGATAACTTTCACATGACATCTTGAATCAATTCAGTTAATATTTAACACCTCCACAATCAGCAATAACCCAGTGGGACTCCCGCTGAACTGGGATCATGGATTGCTCCACATCCACTTGACAGCAAACCAAATACTTATTTCTTTTCCCAGGAGGCAATTCATATTCATTGACTCACCATCCTTGCTAAGTTACATCTCATGGTTCCGCAAAATATATACAGGTAATAAAACAAATTCCTGATATTTATAGCTCCTGATAAGAATACTAAATATTAATTCTGGAGAAAACATTCTCCAAAGCTTCTCTTTCCCAATATGTTATTTTAAAGACTAGGAAAAATGGGAGGCATAACAACTCAAGAATTCACCTAGCAATTTCGTTTTCAAGCACCTGTGAACATGCAATGCTAGGCTTGTAATTGTTCATCGCGTACTAAGTTACACAAATTCCATTAAAAAACTAGTCTAGAAAATCCTCCTCTTCCTTTCATCTGATTATATTATTTGAATTAATCAAATTTCTTATATCCTTCAAGTCTCCTACCCTTTCATCAATTTAATTTTTAAGTTTCTTGTACAGAAACCAAATATTAGTCAGGACTTTGAGACAAAGGAACCCAAGAGATTAAAACATGATCGATTAAATTATAGAATCCACAAAAGAGAAAAGACACGAAATATATATTAAGCTTGAAAACGTATATAAAATATAGATAACAGAAAATTGTGTTGAAAATTTTTGCAAAAATAATCACCTCCTTCTTCGGGGATGTCAGAAGTCCACAAGGTGAGATTGTCTCTAAGGAGCTGCATGATTAGAGTACTATCCTTGTATGAATCCTCATTCAGAGAGTCAAGTTCTGAGATAGCTTCATCAAAAGCTTGCTTGGCAAGGTGACAGGCCCTGGACACATTTCAAGAAGGAAAATGAATTAGAAGGTACACAAGAAGTAGCCCTGTCCGTCTTTTTTTTTTTTTTTTTTTTTTTTTTTTTTTTTTGACATGAGCAGAGCTCTTCAAGTTGAACAAAATATACAAGAAAACAAACCTTTCAGGAGAATTCATAATCTCATAATAAAATACTGAGAAATTGAGAGCCAATCCCAAGCGTATAGGGTGGGTAGGAGGTAACTCAGCCTCAGCTGTTGTGGTGGCACTCTGCGAAAATGGAAGTATTGAAATAAGCAGACAAACCACCAACATAAATTGAGATGCACTATAAATGCATAGTTATCCATATTTTGTATCCTGATATATTATACAAGCATGTAATTTCCATATCATCCAAATATTAAAGTGTGAATGTCACACTTACTGTACAATATGAAAGTATTAAGTCCAACACCTACACAGTAATTAGATTCATAGCCAAATCATAAGTGCGAAAGGCAAAAGGCAAAAGGCAAAAGGCAAAAGGCAAAAGGGGACATATAAAGAAAACAACCAGATCAAATTCATATATACCTCTTGAGCAGCGAAGGTAAGAAAAAATACCATAAAGAAACAGATGTACCAATAGAATAGCACGAAAACCAATAGATCAACAAACATGTAGACAAAGAAAGACGTTACTTAATCTATGTAGGAAGGTACACATTCACAAGTACATACATATCAGATATTTCTAGAATACACCCACAAAAATAATTATGCTTGTAAACATAAAGAATACTGGTGTCAAAATATGATAGCTTTTGTATTCATCAGTGATTTTCACTGGCAAAAAAACTAGCTTCTTTTTGTCATGGATCAACAATTTAACACATGACTAGACCATTAACCTGGTGCCACCTAAAGGCTCTCGTCTTCAAAAGGGTCTAAGGCAATCAAATGTAGCACAAAATCACATTCCATTTGAGTCAATCTGACTCTAAGTTACAATAAAGCATAGATTCTTTAACATCTCATTAAAAAATTACCATCACAATATAACACTAA